ACATCAAAATGTAATGTCCTAGAAAAACCACTATTCTGCTTGCTCCTGATTCTGTGTGTGGGCATTCTGTAAGTGGTCTCAGGTGGCTAGGTTTGCTGCTGCTTTGTCCTGGACTCACTTATTCTCCTGTACTCTAGTGGTGGCTCATCTAAGGCTGGATAGTTTTAGATAGCCTTACTTACAGGATGGGGGCCTCACCTGTGGTGGCTGGGCAGCTCATCTCTCTAGTCCATGTGTTCTTGGTCTCCAGTTGACTAGACTGGGCTTTTTCACACGGTAGGTTCAAGACTGTTTTCCAAGAAGGTGACAGCTGAAGCTACAGGCCTCCTGAGATCTACAGTCAAGAGTCCCATGGTACGACCCTGCTTTGCTCCATTTTGTTGTTCAAAGAAAGTTGGCCAGCTAATATTCAAAGGGTTAGGAACTGATTTCACCTCATAATGGGAGGAATAGCAAAGCTCTATTTCAAAGGCAACAACAAACAGGAGTGTTATAAGTTACTGTGGCTACCTTTGCTATAAATCTATCATAACTTTTTTTTAAGAGTAGGGAGTATTTTCTCAGGCCCTTTCCTAAGCCAGTCATTGAGGAGGGCAATGAAATTAAAGTTGGCCTTCTATAACCATGGGCTCCACATCGTGTATTTAACTAACTGTGGATTGAACATGTTAAAAAAAATTCATCTGTACTAAACATGAACAGACTTTTTTCATGTTATTTATTCCCTAAAAATAGAATAATAACTATTTAAAGTACATTTACATTATCTTAGAAGTATAAGTAATCTAAACATGACTTATATTATATGGAAGGATGTGCATAGGTTCTATGCAAATACTATGCCATTTCAGATTTTGGTAACTGCAGGAATCCTGGAACCAATCTCTGGAGAATGCTGGGGGACCACTGTGCTCTGATTGGGTAAGCCTGATAAGGGTTGACTTCCTGCAACTGAAGACTAATCTTCTCTGAAGCGTAAGAGCCTTGTTGCAAAGAAGTATGTGTGTGGGACTTTGACAGAAAAATAAACAGTATCTCTCAGATTTCCCTAAAGAAATGTGATTTATTTTTAAAAGGATACCTTCATCGCAATGTGAAAATGGATTGGAGAGGAGCAAGACTGAAGGCAGGTTGGTTAGTTGCAGTTTCTCAACCTCATCAATATTGAATACATTGGGCCAGATAATTCTTTTTTTTTGGGATTCTGGACCCTATGCATGGTAGGATGTTCAGAAGCATCCTTGATGTCTTCTCCCTCTAGATTCCAGGAGCTCACACCTAGTTAGAACCAAAGATATCCCTACATTGCTAGTTATCTCCTGGCAGGCAAAGTCACTGTGCTTGAGAACCAATGAGTTTGGAGGCTAGCACAATTATATATTGCATTGGTTTGAACCAAGTGGAGGAAGTATGGATGAAAGCAATATGGACTTTAGAGATCTTCAGTTTAGCGAATGGAAGAGAATTTGCATCTTCATATACAATTTTGAATTTCAAGTTTGCCTGAGAAATCAGTAGATCTGGCCACACAGGATTCAAGTACTCAGGTGACACAAATTTGCTGAGCTGAGTTTGCCAGTTTGTCCCAGTTTCCTCATGACCTTCTTGACTTCTTGCCATTGCTTGTTCTCTGATTCTATAAGAACCTGAGTTCAGGAAGTCTTCTTTAGTTGTGCCTTTCTGTTCTTTGATATAGACACAGACAGGAGGACAATTACTCTTTGGAAGAGGACAATTACTCTTTGGAAAGTTCCACATTCTATATTCTGTGTCCCTCTTTGATCCATATATTTAAATCATACATCTTAGGCCTCTTTAAATTTATCCTTTATTTTTTTCTATTCTGATTCTTAAAGCAATGCATACTCTTTGTGGAAAACATAGGATGGTATACCAAATCCTATAGTTTTCTTGAATTTTGTTGCTGGTTTTCCATATACCCTTGGGGGTAGTGATTAAGAGTAACTTCTCATCTGCAGGAAAGAGCAGGACACTGTCTCAGTTGGGATAAATTTGCTTTCATTTGTAAACTCAGATCCCAGGGTGTTTTGGTATAAAAGTATTTTCCAAACACCAGTGGAAGAAAATTAGTCAAGTGCTTCCCTCTCTGCTTTTGTGCATGGAAGGCCAAACATTCGGGGTATGTGTGGTGGGGGGAGGGCTGCTAAATTAGTTTTTGAAATAATTAAGAGTTGAGGCAATTAGATGGTCTAGCAACATCAAACAATTCAATAGTTAGAACTTATTCCTACTCATGTCTCTCAGTGTTTTAAGAAAAAAATTTCCATTCATGTTAATTTGTTATCTCAAATGTATTTTAAGATGAACCTAAGTGTACTATTTGTAAGTAGGTGACAAAGTTCTTTTCAAACTGCTTGAATAATAGAAAAAAATGACATGCTTCTTAGAGAGCAAAATGGGCCATGATAACGTAAAGGGAGAACATGTAAGAATTGATGTAATGGTTAGAATTAAAATGATGACTGACAATTACTTTCAATTTGAACTGAGGTGAAGAAAATCAGAATTACAATACTCTTGTGATTAAACTTTGATGAGATGAAAATGTCACCATTGTTTGATGAGAATTTTTTATTAGAGTTCAAAGAATATGAATGATTTAACCACAATGAACTAACACCACAGGGCTGAATAATCTGTATCGGTATTTCTCCACTCTTCCTTATTGCAGGTCGCTAGAGAAATCTCAGCCACTCTCATTCTTCAGTTCAGCTGTTTCCATAACATCAGCTTTTGGAACAATGAGATAAAACTCCAGTCCTTTGTGATAAGTTTTGACATTGAAATCATGAAGTAACTTAGTGTGGTGAAGTATTTCCAAGAGTCATGGGTTGAGATTTAGGCTTATGTTTTTTTCTTAAAGAAATACATTTTTAAATTTTTCAAAAATTAGACTAGATTTCTAGAGAGAAATGAGGAGATCTTGCTTTTATCTACATTCTTAGATGAAAAATCAAGATGCAGTGAGTCATTTCACTGTACAGGGAGAATTGTGTTCCCTTTAGCCTGACATTTTGATAATTAAAATTGAGAGAAGGGCTTTAGTTTGTCATAGGTAATGCACAGTACATTTCTCTATAGGCAGTGATTGCAATATTGGATGGCAAAAACACACTGACTTAACACAGGAATCTTTATTTTTATTTTTGAGTCAGGGTCTTGTTATGTAACCCAGCCTGGCCTTAAACTCGTGGTAGCCAGGCTACCATGCCTGGCTGCACAGAGATTTTTCTCTGTCTAGGGACAACTGCTGTTTTAGCAATTACCCACTGAGAGAGGGGAAGGAGAGCTGGAGTCCCACTTTCCTTACTTTTGTTACTGAGGGATTGATGCCTTCCTCTCTTAATTTCTTCCTCCCCTCTTTTACTTCTTTCTCTTTTTTAAAAGTTGTTTTTTGAATTTATATTTTTGCTATATTATTGTTGTACTAGGGGTACATTGTGACATTTACAAATGCTCTTATAATACATCATAGTTGAAATCACCCCCTCTATCATTCTCCTCCCCCCCATTTCCTTTCTCTTAAAACAAGTAATTTCTCATAGTTATTGGCAATACATGTTTAAGGATCTATCTATCTATCTATCTATCTATCTATCTATCATCTATCTAGCTTCTGCTTGTCTGGAGTCAAAATATTTGGGGACTTAGCCCACAATTCTGTAGTTTGGCACATAGGTGGTACCAGGTATATTCAATCTTATTTAATACACACAACTATTTCTCTCTTTATTGAAGGTGAAAGTGTGGGCAGTGGTCATTATAGCCAATTATTGTCCAAAACTCTTGCCAGTGTGAGACATTGCTACAATTTGATATTCTATGAATGTTATAATTTGAATAAAAGTATTCAAAATTACCTTTATTTAAAGGCTGAAAAGTAGTTTTATTTTCTTATTACTTTAAAATCAGCCTTTTAACTGTGGGCTGGTGTAGGGCCAGTGATTATGCAGTAGTTCTGATGATTGCCGAACACTACTGATTGATTCCCTTATTAATACTCTATTAAAATGTACATTTAATAAATACATTTTATTTGTTAAAACTTTTTATAGACCCTTGAACACAATAGGCACTCAAGCATATGTGGACTGGGTGATTAATAGGTAAATAATGATTGAAATGCATATTGAGGCTTAAGCATCAATGAAGGGCAAAGAGAAATTATCAAATTTGATAAATCAAATAGCTGATTTTGAATAAAAAAGTGGAAGGTTCAGGTATAAGAGGTTTCTGTTCTATTCCTGCTCACTGAAGAAAGCTTTCTTGGCCCTTCAAAATTCCTTTCACACATACTTTGTTTAGCTCATTTATCTTTGGGACATTTGCACTTGAGTGTTTAAATCTCCTTTCAGAGGTGGTCAAAGTGATAATAAGAGATTAGGTCGGAACAACTGAGAGGTTCCAATGCATTGCAATCTTTATTGATAAGAAAAATCAAAGGCTTGGGAAAGGCAGATAATGAAAGTTGAAATGATTGGAACTTGAAAGCATTGCATTCATGAGCCCACACAGGGCAGTGGCGAGGCACAGAGAACTGTGGACAGTCCCCATGTGTGACACATAGGAACCCGGTGACCTTGAACCCACCACTCACACACCTCAGACTTCATTTTCCTCATAGGTAAAATAAGGATCACAGCAATACTTACCTCACAAGTCTTCTCTGAGGATGAGCAAATGGAAAAATGTGTACCTGTTGCAGAGGTGCTCAACAGTACAAAGCTATTATTATTATTGAAATGTAGATGACTTTAGTGTTTTTTGGGGTCAAATGGAAAAACATCTTAAATAGTGCCCATGATAATGTTTTCCAAGAAAAAAATAAGCCAAGAGTTTCCTAAATATCTAAAGTCCTAAGAAAATCCATTGCAGCCCTCCACCCTATTCTCTCTCTCTCTCTCCCCCCCTACCCCTCTTCCTACTTCTCCCTCTTTCTCTCCCTCTCTAGAAATACTGGAGATTGAATTTAGGGCCTCAGGCTCTACCACTTGAATTATACCCACAGCCCTTTCTTTTTGCTTTTGTTTATTTTTTCAGATATTGTCTCATGCTTTTGTCCCTGCTGGCCTCCATTCAGGCAGACTGTGATCCTGCCTCTTGAGTAACTAGGACTAAGGACATGAACCACCATGTCCAATCTGTTTTTTGAGTTAGGGTCTTGCTAACTTTTTGCCCAGCTAGGTCTTGAATTGCAATCCTCCTGTTTTCATCTCCCAATCACCTGGAATTACAGGCATGAGCCACCAGGCCTGGCCACCCCATTCTCTTATTTGAGACCTTTGCTGTATCTCTGTAATACTTATTAAAATCACTTACATTTAATTTATTGTTCCCTGGTGGTGTGGAATGGTGTGGAACAATGAGGATTCCCATGACAGATACATGGGAGAGCTTTGTAAGATTGAAAGCAGTTATGTTGGGGACTGGCTTCATTCAGTTATAGGTCTCAGTTTTTGCTTTACTACTGTTATGTGATTTGGGGAAATTGACTTATTCCCTTTGAGACGTGGTTTCCTCATTTTTGGAAATGGGAATGATAGCAATGCGTACCTCATAATGAGCTTTGAGGTTTAAATGCTTGAGGGTAATATTTATAAATTTTAAAGCCCATAATTGATAATTATTTGAATCTATTCATTTTTTTCTCCTCCCTTTTTATTCTTGACTAATGCTTTCAGAAATTGACAGCTCTTCTGTGAAAAGTGGCCTTTGAAGGGAAGATGGAATATAGGCTATGATTTTCACTCACTCACAGATCAAGTTAATACCTGCAGATTGTAGTATTTCTTCTATCCATCCATCCATCCATCCATCCAATCATTTATTTTACATTTACTGGCCAGTAGTCATGTGCAATCACTGAGGTCTGCAAAGGGTTAGAAGCATCAGTGTCATGGCCTCTCAGAGATTCCTAAATATGTGGAGATAGAAGAATTCAACTCAGCTTTTTAGAGTCTTCAATGTTGCATAAAACCCAACAATGGAGAAGTGGAAAATTTGAAAAAATGGTAAGAATTAATTCAGGTGACATATTGATTTGGACATTTTCCAAGTAGGATAATTATCTACAAGCAGGCTGACATTTATATCTCTAGCTTTCCATGCTTGTTAAAATACTTTTCCTGCTGAAATACTCATTGAGCTAAATTTCATCTAACATCTGGCCATTGTACAAATATAGCAATGAAAACATGTCTTGTTGCCTACACATTAGGTATAAATTTTAGAAATCCAATTAGTGGTGCATTCTTAGTGCATTTCCTGTTTTCTTTAGTGTTTGAGCTAATTTTGGGGTCCTAACTGGAGTTGTAAGGATTCAAATACTTAGCACACATTTATGCAGCAAAAAAAAAAAAAAAAAAGCTAGATTAAAGAATAGAGCTTTGTGGCATTTCCTAATGATTGTAAGGTACTAATTAATTTCTTTTTTTATCTGTGGAATGAGTAATTATTGAGTAAAATATCAATGCCTAGGTGTGGGGTTGGGGATGGGCAAAGATATAGAATCAATAAGACAGAGTCTTAGCCCTTATGGAGTGTAGAATCCACTTGAGGAGACAGACAGGTAAACAAATAATTTCACCACAATGGGACGAATGCGCTGAGGGGTATGTATCTGTCTGGCTCCTAAAGCATGACTCATCCTTATCTGATGGGTTGTTTTCTACATAACGGTTATCCTCAGTCCTCTACCGAGGGTCTGTAACCTCTTGAAATTGAGAAGGCCCTCAAACCAAGAACCCAAGGGGCTAAGTCAGTACTCACTGAGCCTGCATTGTCCATCTGTGTAGGCAGAATCTGCCAAATGCCCTGAGGATGGATTGTCTACTCAGCAATACCAATCACAGTTGTGCAGTCTTCACTTTTAGACTCACTATGGTAATAGTCGCTATCCATTTTGCATAGATGAGGGCATTCTGAAGTAAACTTGTGAAAATGTAATTTTCACTGTCTGTATTAGGAACTACCACAGTGTATGCTCTGCAGACTTTCAAAAATACATTTCATTTCATGGATTCACTACTGTTTCATTTGGTGTCAATTATATTCAAATATGTAAACCTCCTGTTCATTCTAAAGGAAGCTCATAAGATCTAACATGTAAAAACTACAACTGTGTTTTTGAGTGTCATCAAACACATTTACCTTTTAAAACATTTGAAAGTGTATTTGCACAAGCTTAGGAGTATGAGATGCAACATAATTCTTGGAAATTATGCTAAACCACAATGCTAATACTTTAATAGATTATTCCAAACATTCGACATTATGGTTTAAATCTAACTTTAGCTCTAATGTTGGAATAACATTTTAGTTAAGAAAAACTTGTGACTATAACCATATGCTCAATTTATTCCCCCCTTAGTTTACCATGAATTAAAATTTCATTGAGATTTGGGTCATAAAAGTGATAAAAAATTGTTTCTTATATTTTATCAATTGTATATTTATTTAATTAATCCTGAAAAGAATATAGAAATACATTTTAGTGGGTTACAGAAATTAGACTTAACATTTAGCTCTTTGATTTTCAACATGAACAGGTAACACTATAGTTGCTTTTAAATTTAGTGTTCATTGCACATCTTGTACAACTTTTATTTGATATGTATTTTCACAGGCTACCAGGAGTCATTTGCAAAAGTGAGTGGCCACAGTGTTCGATCCTTGAGTTAAAAGTCTTCCATTTATTTCAGAGATTATGGGTTTCAAGATTAGTGCTGTTTTTGGGCGATCTGTAAAGTATTAAAATGTAAATGTGAACTCAAAAAACTAGAGGTAAAGAAAATGATTTTTGTTATGTTAACTTCTACATAGTAACCACATTTTCCTAATAATTTTTATGCCGTAAGCACATGAGGGAAGACACAATTACTTCCAGGTATAATATGTTCTAAATTCACATGTTCTATAGTGCATGTGATGACAATTTATATTGACTTTTATGTTTTTTGATAAGGTTGTCTATTCAGCTCAGACTGTCATCTTCAGTTGTCACAAAAGCGATTTCTCTGTCACATGGTCACAATGTGTGGGGATGCATCAACATGCTTCAACAAAGGGCCTTGCCAGGATTAATTTTCACATTTGAATTTGCTACTCTACTTTGGAATTTCCTTGTAATTATCAAGTTTAAACCAATACACATGTTGCCTGGATTCATGACCTAGAATATTCTGTGCTTTTTGAAATCAGACCTCTAATAAATCAGTGGCGTGTTTCTATCGTATATATATATATTCCAAATATTTCTAATCTCCTTGCAAAATTTTCAACACTGAGCAGCAGCTCTAGCTGGTGTCTATAAGTTGCAGTAGGAAAAGGCTCAGATGATGCAGGTGTAAGAATTTATGAAAAGTGTCAGGTGGCAGGAGCAAGCATTTTAAATTTACCAATTGTTTAGGTTACAGGAAAAAATATTTTTTTAGTGGTACTGAGGTTTGAACTGAGGGCCTCACACTTGCTAGGCAGGCACACTACTACTTGAGCCACTCCAACAGCCCCAGAAAAATATTCTGCCAGTGCAAGAAGTTAGAACTTTTAGAAGAAAATGTTCTCTTTAGCAATGGAAATAGACTTTCAAAAATCTGGGCCCCAAGTATTAGAATGATTCCTTCCTTTTTGTACTGGTTTGGTAAACTGCGCAGATTTTCAGTGTAAGGACCACCTTGTAATTTGGGGGGTTTTGTGTATTCTTCCTGAGGGAAGAGACAGTTGGCATTGTTCCGTGATGGGGTGTAATTCATTTATGTCGTGCCAATTTCTCCTTTCTGATCCCTTCTCTGTGTATCTGTCAGCAGCCGTCTCGTGGGAGCAGCACTGTGCACTTCATTAATAAGAAGGGATTAAAGGAAAAAGCCCTGGTCTCCTAACACACTGGGATAATTTGGTGCCATCCATAAGGCAATAGACCCCTGCTGTATACATGTCATTAGAAAGGTACAATTTCATTACTTTTTACTGGCAGAGCCTTGAGTGAAATACAAAATATGTTGTCTCATATGCGGGGAAAAAAAGTACTAAAGCTTTCATTCACTTCATGCCCTAAACACAGTGGAATGCAAAAAAATATTTTATGTTTTTCACATTTATATTGCCTTCCTTTGATAACACTTGAAACCATGCTTTTATTAAATACTGAGCAAAAATGAAGATTAAAAGAAAATTATTTGTATTCTAAATCCCAAATTTACATATATATATGTATTTATTTATTAACTAACACTTTTATTTTGAGTATCTACTATGTGACAGGAACTCTGCTAGCTAGTGGTAAACAATTTACAGAAGTATCATTTCACTCTTTTTCTTTTTTGTTTACACCCTAATGTATTGAATGCTATAATTGGAAGTGAGTGTATATGAAGTAAACCATATGACAGAATTAAAATTATAAGCCAATATTTTGTAAGTGTATACAGGAATCTGTTTAACTCTTCCTTGTAAATTAAATTCATTTTGGACCTGACATGTTTGCAGATGATTGATACTTTCTTTTGAATCAAATCATCTTGATATTAAGCCTTTAGTGACATATTGTGCAAATGCTTGACATAATGGGTACAAATTACCCTTGGCACTATAGTTCCTGTAGGTGTCACCTAGTCAGCCTAGTGTGAGACTTGGCCACGCCCCTGAAAAAGGGACTTGTATTTCAGGCATCTGCCTTAAAACTTGCCAGTGGTCTTACAGGAAGTACACTGGTGTGATGGCTTTCTGAGAATTTCCACTTCACTATTTACTAGCACCGAACAGAATCAGGTTTAATAGTGGTCCATTATCTCACTGCCACAGAAACACAACTGCCATTAACACTAAAAAGCAACACATAGTTGGAATTGTGTTGGGAGAAGAAAGCTCTTGATTATCAGCTATTTACAAGCCACTGACATTTGTAGCTCTTTGTCTAAGATAAACGCTAGATTAGACTGTTAAAATGATACAAACTGGAGTTCTCAGAGAACATTCTACCCCGGCAAAAGGCAAAGCAGTGCAGGAAAAACAATTGTGTGAACAAAATAAGTAGTCAGTAATGAGAATACAGAAAAACATGTTGGGTTATATACAAAATCTCTACAAATGAAAGATTGGTCATTTAGTCAGTTTTGAACTTAGAGTGGATGTCCTTGCCCTTTTACTCTGTCACCATATCTGCCTTGTCTGTCATACATTTTAATTCACTCAGATATTGCACTTGCAGTGAAAACTGTCAACCAATGTCATGAGAAGTGAGAAAGTAGCAGATGTTAGGACTAGACAGGACCAGTTTACACCTTCTAGAGGGAGCAGGGCTTAATAACCAAGAAAAAGTCAGGATTCAACTAGTTACGTTCTTATCAAAAATATGTCTTAGTTAATGTTTACATTCAGATAGCCAAAATTACAAACAAACTCCCCAGTTTTGTCAATAAATTAAAAAAAGTAAGCAAAATGGTTAAATGGTTAAAAGCTTAGATTGTTAATCTTGTATGGTGCATTTGAGGATGTACACTGAAAACAGCTCAATCATTTGATACAAGAATACTGTCTTCCTTTTTTCCATGTGATTTTTGTATGATGGTAATTTTCCCCCCACTTGCACAAGATTTCACAAGTCTGCTCATCCTGAATCTCAGTCCTTTATGACTTGGATGTTTTATTAGGTTTAACTAACAAATACACAAGCTTTCTGAATATTCTGTCCAAATTTCTGGGCTTTAACTTCACACTATTTTGAATATTGAGGAGGAAGAAGGATTATTATGAACTGGAATTGGGGTTGAAAATTGGGTGCTTGCAACATAGGTGGAAACAGTCAATTAGCAATGACCCTCGTTAATATTATTTTGCCGAGGCAGTTTTATTATATTTCCTCTCTTGAGTGTGCATGACTCTGTGACATACTACATTTTTTCCCATTGTTAAACTCAGTTTAATGGACTATTCAAATGAGGATTGATGATACCAATTTCTTCATAGAGGAAATACAAGTTGATAGGTGTGTCTGTATGTTCTGTAAGGCATGACTTAACCAAATCTTGATACACATTTTAAATAGGTTACTGGTGAAAGGCAACTAGATAAACTAGATGTGTATTTGCTCTGGGGATACTTTAAAAGATTTCTGTCTTGGAATTTCAAATTTATAATAGGTTTCTCCCTTTCTCCTCGGTAAATAATGAAAGAGTTATTGTTCAGACTGAGTAATTGATGTGAAACCACAAGCTTGCATATGTCTAATTTATAACAAATCTGTTTCCTTAATGGGTGGAAGGAAATCTGAGGACAGTTCTAAGGAGTCTCGTCTGCTTTCAGTGCTATCTTCTAGTCATACTGAAGACAATACCTCTCCGGATGGGTCTTTCCCCTTCTTCTCATCTCCACGGTCAATGTCAATCACATGCACCACTCCAGGTTTCAGAATCAAGTCCTCAGTCTCCACCTGACTTCTGTTGTCCTCCACTTCCATGTAGCTCCCTTTTGTTTGCTGGGATGCTTTGCTAAAGGCTTCCTTAAAACGCCGTTTGAGTTCAACATCTGGACAGAAGACATATTCGTAAAGACCACCAGCAAGGACAGCTCCTATTATTGGTCCAACCCAATAAATCTGGGAGAAAGATGGAATAGGATAAAGTTTAAAGAAAGAAAAACTATTTCATCAAACAACTCAGAATTTATCTGGGTTAAATTAGACAGCAACTGTGTCATGCACAAAAAAAAGAGGGCAATTGGAAAGGAAATGAGAAAATACACCAAATCCACACAAATTATTAAGTAACATTTGAATAGGAAATAAGAAAGAATTATTTCTTCCTTTCAATAATTACATTTTGAATTTTGTGATAATTCTTTTTTTGGGTGGGTGGGTGGAGTGGGTCTCAGTACATAGCCCAGGCTGGCCTTGAACTTACAACCCTCTTGCCTCAGTGTCCCAAGCTATTAGCTTATCAATTTTCTGGTAATTCTTAATATTAAGATAACTCTTCTTTGGTGGTTGTACAAATTAAGCACACACTAGGAATTCTTCAACTAAAATAGAAAAAAGGCAAAAGAATTTCTGAAGAGTACTTCTCTTATTTGGTCAATATTGCCACCTTGCTTTGATTTTCTGCATAATCAGGATTGTAGTTTTATCATTTGAGGCTTTAGTTATTCAGTATGTCATGATAAATGTAATCCCAGCTCCACCACTTAGCATTTTTGTGAGTGCTTTTTACCAGTCACTTGACTTCCTTATCTGCAAAGAGGGGACTATAATAACACATACCTCATGGGGTGTGAAGATGAAACAATACTTGTAAAGTACTTAAGAGTTCCTAGCTCATCAGAGCCAGCTCCATTTCATGATTCTTAAACAATTTAAAGATGTGTGTGATGAAGTTGACTATAAGTTATTGTTTCCCTTATACTGCATGCTTCTTTTTCTTTAAAATTTGGTGAATTGATTTACTTAAAACTCCATGGTTTTAAGTGGTCACATCTCTTGTTGCAGAGAGTTTTTCTCTCTTCATGGTGTTTAGTGAAAAAACCTGTATTGAGTTTATGGCTGCTGGTTAGTGAAGAAGTAGTAATGCCAAAGGACTTCAACGAATAGGTTTCTAAAATTATATCAATTATGTGCCTACAATAAACTAAGGGTTTTTTTTTCCCTTTTGGCAGTACTGTAGTTTGAACTCAGGGCCAAGCACTTACTAGGCAGGTGCTCTACCATTTGAGCCACACCTCCAGTCCAAGGATTAACAAAGTTTTGGGTTTGAATGAACTGCAACACTTTCTTCCTCCTCCTCTTTTTCCTCCTCCTCCTCCTCCTCCTTCCTTCTTCCTTCTCCTTCCTTCTTCCTCTTCCTCTTTCTTTGGTGGTTCTAGGGTTTGAACTCAGGGCCTCTCGCTTGCTACTCAGGCACACTACCACTTGAGGCACTCCATTAGCCTATTTTAAAAATGTGTGTTGAGTATTTTTGAGATAGGGTCTCATTATCTATTTGCCAGGGTTGGCTTCAAACTACGATCCTCCTGATCTCTGCCTCCTGAGCTGATGGGATGACAGGCGTGAGCCACCAGCGCCCTGTTCAACATTTTCTTTAAAGCAGCATAGGGTGTAGAATGTTAGGCCCTCATTCAACAGATCCATTTGGTCAACAGAAACCTTGTTTACTGGGTGCTGTCTCTGAGTTGGCTGTACCGAGCACTTTTCCTGTATCTCATTTAATTCTAACAGTAAGCTTTGAGATCAATATTATTATTAAAATCTGCACATTTTTGGGTAAGGTAACCAGTGCTCTGAGGGGAAAGAAGCTTGCTTAAAAGCTCATGCCTAGCAGGTGGTTGAGTTGTGTCTGTCTCACGTAAACTGTCTTAATACTGTCTTGTCTTTCATTTGAAAAAAATACGGTGAATGCTTCTTGCTTAAAATACCCTTTGGAAATTAATCTCACTTAGCACCCTCACTATAAAATCTAAAGAAAATCCAAACTTTCAGCTGAAGCTGAACACATATCCTTAACTGGGAAGCTGTTGGCAGAGTGGCTGGAAGAACCAAGTTCTTTATGGTGAACATGAAAGAACTCAAGGGAGAGTTTATCTCCCTATGTAGGTCCTTTCAAAGGTGAAATGAGAGCCCTCCTCTTAATGTCTTTGATTTTTGTTCTTTTGCTAAGATCTCATTAGACTGGTAGGATTTCACAGGCTTCAAATCCCACAAGGGAGAATAGGCACTGTTAAATAATTATTACCTTCTCCCAAACACTAAGAAGGAGACAACCAGCTTCATGTTCTCAAAAATAAACAAATCTCAGGGCCAAGTTGCTATTCTAAAACAAAGTGTTATGTGCTTTGTCTTTTAAAATCTTGTAAAGAATTTTAATTGCTACAAATTTAGAAAAAATTTACATAAAGTATAAAGAAAATTAACATAATGTCATTGTACTGCATAAAAATCACAATTAATATTTTGAGTTATTTCTGGTCAGTAAATATACTATAAATTAATTTTAAATTTCATACACTATTGCCATGAAATTGTTTAAAAAATCACTTTCAGCAAGATTAAATTTGTCATAAAATAACAAGAAGAGGGGTTGGAGGTGTGGCTCAAGTGATAGAGCATCTGACTAGAGTGGGTAAGGTCCTGACTTCAAACCCCAGTGCTGACTTCAAACCCCAGTACTAGCCAGGCGCCGGTGGCTCACATCTGTAATGATAGCTACTTAGAAGGCAGAGATCAGAAGGACTGTGGTTAGAGGCCAGCTCAGGCAAATATCTTGAGACCCTATCTCGAAAAACCCTTCACAAAAATAGGGCTGGTGGCGTGGCTCAAGGTGTAGGCCCTGAGTTAAAGTTTGAGTACTGCAAAAAACAACACAACAAAAAACCCCCAGTTCTGCCAAAAAGAAAAAAAAAAAAGAGGTAACCTTTTATTTAATCAAGAGGCCAAGAATTTTCCCACTGTTTAACCACAGTTAACCAGTAATTAATAAAAAAGAACTTTTATCTACATTTTCCCACATATTCAGGTCTAAGTTAAATTAAAATTAGTTAATTACAAAATAGTTTTAGTTAAATAAGTTGAACTAAAAGTTGCCTTTTTATCAGAAGATCTATATATTGCCCATTAAAAATTCCCATTTTTGTAATGGAACAAATCTTTTGAGACATAAATAGAAATATCAGTGGCAAAATGACCAGTCTCATGGATGGTGTCATTGACCATGACTTTTTAGAGCTGTTTCAAGATCTTGCTTTTGAACACTGACTTCTATGCTGTTTAATGGTAAAAATTACTTTAATAGCTCAGTACAGTATTCATAGAAACCAATTTATAAAGCCACGGCATGACTGTTTTTCTCTTTGTAATGCTACATCGCTGACTAAGTGTGACTTGGTCAATAACCACTATATACATAAGATTGAAATGCAAATGACATATTCCGTGATACTCATGAATTAAAAAATTATACAATAACCCCCACAACATATAAAGGACAATAAAAGCCCCACTTGAAGCTGGCCTATCTACATCTTGTATTTTTATTGAGTATTGTAGTTAACATATGAGTAGCTTTCCCAATTATTCATGACTCATTTGAAGGATTTAAATTTCTTTGCTGTAAAAAAATTGAAACAAAACTGGTTGTGATATTTAAAAATGGATCTCCCTATTCTCTGGAAACAATGCCACCACATGAATAAGTAGGTTAGGCCTGATATTGAAAAGTGTCCCTTTTTTGAGAGTCATTTGTTTTTCCAGCTATGGTTGGGCTGATAATGGCATAAACACTTGCACCATTTATTCTGCACCATCTGCAGTTTAAATGCTTCCAACTCTCATACTATTAATTGGGTTTTGCTTTTGTAAACAAAAGGGGTAAATATATTTGCTTTGGACAATACTTTTAAGTTCTTTCTTTCTTTTATTATTTCTTTTTCTTTTTTTGCAACCTTATTATCTGTTATTGTTGAGAAGGCTTTTCTTTCAATTATTATATAACCCATTCACTACACTATCCCAAATTTAATTTGTTCCACATAAACAACTTCTATGTATAATGTATTCTGCTGTGGTCAGTCTGATACATGCCCAAACTAACGCTTAAAAATCAAAAACACAAAAAGGAAACAAAATTCAACTCTTACTGAAGGCCCAGAATGGATATAAGATGAGATATTTTGCAGTAAATCTGTGTTACACTTTTTCTATTCTTTATGAAAGGTATAATCAAGTGAGACTCAGGATGAGGGAATGTGACACAGAGTAGTGAACAAAATAATACAAAAAGAAAGAGCCTGGTGGATGATTGTCCTCACTGTAAGAAGAGAAGAATTATGAGCATAATGGTTACCCAGTGGTTTTCCCAATTTCCCATGATAACTGCAGGTCCAAAGGATCGGGCCGGATTCATGCTGGCCCCAGTATAATTGATCTAGAGGAAAAAAAGAAAACAACTTCAGTCATTGCTGACATAGTCATTGCTACTAACAAGTATCATTCATTGCAACTTGCTATTATTTGTCACATCAGTTAGAGGAACTTCAAGATGTCAGCAACTCTATCAACATTCTTGTCACACAGTTGGCAAAATGGGCACTGAAATGGACAACATGATTGGATACGGAAGAGCTCTTGCTGTAAAACATAGCATCTTCAGGCCTGCTCTAGGGTGAGGATAAATAAGATGGATCAATTATTTAAATGGACTTGGAAACTTACAGCAAATAAATGTCCAATTGCAACAGAAAATCCAATTGCTAAAGCTATTGAACCAGTGACATCAGTCCGCTTGGAGTCACAACTGGCAAAAATAGTAAACACCAACTGAAATGTGATTATCAACTCCACCAGGAGACCGTGACCAGCACTAAGATTTCCATGAACCTGGAGAGAGAAAAATACTCCATCAGAATTGAAGTAAGCACATGTCTGTGACAACATAGCATTATGAAAAACATATTTTATCTATATAGAAAGTAATGCTTAATTTCAGTCTTCTACACCACCTCCATTTGAGGCCCCCAATTTTTCCCCCTCCCGAAAAGGAGGAATAAATTTACACTCATTTTGGACCATCACAGATAATTACTTCTACAATGACCAAGCAGGAATTTGTGCTGAATGTCATTTTCTACAAAGGAAGCTAAATCTGCTATTGCTGCACTTTGAGAGACTTACAATTTTAGTAGGCAATGATATAATCTATTAATTAGGTTTAAATTAATTAATAGATGTCACAAATAAAATTTAAGCTGTGTGTATGTGTTTAAAATTAGCCCTATTGCTGAGTTAACAAATGCTACTCTTAATCAGAGAAGAACAAAACTAGGATCAGATATCAATTTTTTTTTTTGGCAATATGGGAGTTTGAATTCAGGACCTTGCACTTGCTATGCAGAAATTCTATCTCTTGAGACACATTTCTAGTCCCTTTTCCTTTGGTTATTTTTGAGCTAGGGTCTTGCTTTATGTTCTGGCTGTCCTAGAATCACATTTGTACTTCCTGTGCATAATTGGGATGGTAGATGTGCCACCACACATCACCATTGGGTGAGATATGGTCAACTTTTACCTAGGCTGGTCTTGAATCAGGATCCTCTCTATTTCTACTTTCCAAGTAGCTAGGATCGTAGGCTTGAGCTGTGGCATCGAACCTCAATTTTTTTTTCAAGTTTGACCCTTCATACAGATCTGATTAAATCTCCTAATATGAAAAGAGACAAAATAGTTTCTTCTTCTGTTGAACAAATAATTGTAATAAAATGCCTTAAGCATAGTCAGTATAGTTACTGGTTGGGGGGAGAGAAGAGAGAGTAAGAGGAGAGAGAGAAACACCCACCAAAAAAAAAACAAGAACAAAAATAAAAAAAAACAAACCAACACCTCTTTTGTGTCACCTAGACTTTTTGTTGTTGTTCGAGACAAGGTATTATGAAGCTCAGACTAGTCTGGCACTCAGTATATAGCCCAGGCTAGCCTTGAAGTTACAATCCTCTTGCCTCAGACTCCTGAGGATTGGGAACACAGATGAGTACCACCACACCAGCTTTCCTATGGATATTTTTAATGTTGCCAGAATCAGCTTTCATTCTATCACGAACTATCAAAAATTTCATGTCCCTCTGGCCACTAGGGTGTCATTTAACAGAATCTGTAAGCAGCCTGGAATCCTAGTCTGAAAGTAAGAGTTTAAGAGACTACCGTGGTGACTCCCAAGCCTCCCACCACACTGGGAGGTGTGACCAGGTAGAGAATTCCTGCTCCGACGATGGCCCCCAGGCACTGTGCTGCGATGTAGAAGACAGACTTGGCAATGCTGATCTTCCGGGTGCATACCATGGCCACTGTCACTGCAGGGTTGATGTGGCCACCACTGATGTGGCCAAAGCATTGCACCATGGTGGCGATGCTGAGTCCAAAGCAAAGGGAAATTAGAACCATGTCGACAGGCAAGGGCTTTTCTGCTCCACCCCAATTGATGGTGGATCCCAGGCTGAGCAGAACAAAAATAAGCATGGCCAGAAATTCTGCTGTGACTGCCTTCCAGAAAGCTTGGGTCCAGACCCCTTTGAAAGCCACCATGATGTTCTCTCTTCTGCACAAAGGTCCACACTTACTGAAAAGGAGAACAAATGGGCATCAGAAGCCACCAAACCGGACTTTCAGCTGGAAGGGTTGATGAACTTAGGGGAAGTGGGACAGATCTGCAGTTTTGTTGGGGGCTGTGGGGAGATATGACCAACCGTTAGTTGCAAACCAAGAAAGAATGTGTCTGTAAATCTCCTTAATTAGTAGTTAAGAGATGGTATTCTAGCCTCTGATTTAATAGTCAAAGATCGTCCAATTCAACTTTCCCTAGAAAGGAAAATATCTGAATCAACTTCTTTTAAAGATTAAGAATAAAATATATTTACTTTGGAATTAATTCCCTTAGAGCAAGTTTTAAAGTTTGTGCATCTAATATGCTATTTATATTTTGAACATAAAGCAGCAAGCAAAACAAAGAAAGAAAGGACAGGTCTTTTTCAGTTTTGTACCTTATAGCTTCAAAATATCATTTGGAAAATGGATTTGTAGAGTGGTCCCCGTACCCCCAGCAGAGTGGGGATTTAGAGGAGGCCTGCTAGGAAGCCGGGACTGCCCACAGAAGATGTCTTTTGGGAAGGTAAATTCCTTCGTGGAGGGCAGCAGAGCTCCTGGTGCCTGGCAGAGGCGGTGGGAACAGGCAGGGCCCCAGCTGGGACAGGGGCACTCCTTCCCTGTCCCTGCGCCAGGAGCGCAGGCTGCCAGTGGGAGGAGCCCAGAAGCCCGGCCAGCCTAGGGACACTGCGCGACGGCCGCGCAGATCTGGGCTCCCAGCGCGGGGACGTGACAACCTCAGGCCCCTGGGGAGCCTGGAGCGCCTCTGCAGGGCGGGGCAGCGGCCACTCCCGGCTGGTGCCAGGTCCCAGGCAGCCGCCAGGTGAACAGACAGAAGCGGTCTGTCAGAGGAGAAGCAGGGTCTGAGGGATGCTTTTGAAAGAACAGCCCCTCCTCGTGCCCCTCCTCGTGCCCGATCCTCTCTCAGCCTTTGGTGGTACCTCTCGGACCACCCCCTCCACTTGAAGGGCTCCTGGAGGCTGGGGCATGTAAGTAGGCCAGGTACATGTCCCAGCAGCAGAGGACAGAGCTGGGTGGACTAGTAGGGAGAGGGGGCGTGACCGCGGAGAGGTGCCCAGGACAAACATCCTATGGAAGACTTCTCCTCTGGGATTCTAGACTGCCTTCTCTTGTGTGGGCTTGGCCCTGGAGGACAGTGTGTGGGGTGCCTGTGTGCAGGGAGGGATAGAGAGAAGGAGGAGAAACTTGGGATGAGGTTAGCAGAGAGGGCTTGCTGCAAGAGAGTCACTGGGAAGGAAGTCTCTTCTGAGATCTACTTTGCTCTCACTGTCTTTGGATCTCTGCAGCTGAGGAGGAGTGGGGTTGGAGGATATTCATGTACCTGCTCATTTTGGTCACAAATGGCTAGGTTCTTCTTTGGGAGAGCAATTCCCCTAACTACTATTGTCCATTTGCCCTTGTCCTTTGCCCGTGACTGTCAAGAAAGTGAAGTACAGAGAACATGTAGCAGAGAATCTGATCACAGAGGATTATATAAAGGGTTGGGCAAGAAAGCCAAGTACTTCTAAGAGATTTAGAATTTTTGCAGCTTCCCCCTGACATATTGTGGGACCCTTTGCCTCCCCCACATCACATCCTGTCTCTAACAGCCCATAGTTTTGCAAGGACTGTGAGGAAAGACTGACAAATAGGGTGGGGTTTTTTGGGTGAAGGGAAGCATCCGCGTTCACTTTTAGAACTCCTCTTCCAGTTTGACACAGGGCTTTGCTTCAGACTTAGAAAGAAAACCTATTTTCTGCCCAAGTTCTGCTGGCAGGATGAAAAAGGGGTGGCTCCAGAAGGGAGGGAACAGTTAGCTGTACCCCAAGTGTCCTTTGTCCAAGTGAACTCCTCTAAGTGAATCATGCAATTATGAAAAACCCCAACTGGGATGATATATTGACATTGCACTCTCTAGGGGAAAAGAACATTGAGACAAAACAAAAACAAAAACAAAAACAAAAAACCCCAACACTTGGAGTGGGGCAGAGAGGGTGCCCTGGGAAGGCATTAAAAATGTTTCCAAGGGGAGGAACGCCAAGAACTCACAAATTGAAAAAGGAGTGATGAGAATCCTTTCTGAGTGCACTAGCAGCCTGTGGCTTAGCTGGATGCCAAAGGGGTAAGGTGTTATATTACAGGTGCTGTCCTCTGTGTACCAATTTACTGAGAAAAAGGAAGAGGACATAGCAGGAAGTAAAGGAAGCTGGGTGGGCAGAAAACAGTCCCTTTTTAGCAAGAGAGCACCCAGGAGAGGTGGTCCTAAAAAAGGCCAGCCTCTCAGTGACCCCTTTCTCCTCTACCCCCCAGTCCCTTGACTTCTATTCCTGCTCATTCATACACCTGTCCACCTTTCCATAGACCTGATGGATGAATCTCAGTTGCTCTTTCAGCTTTCAATTTTTATCAACCAGAGAAATTAAGAAACAACAAAACACCAAAACACACAAAATGTATACTCCTTAAGATGTTGTTAGCCTACCCTCCTTTAAATTCACAAAAATCTCATTTCCTTGCAGGCCAGCCTCAGGTGACTGTGAACCCTAAAGTTTGCTGGCATGTACCAACCTCTCTGGCCTTCTGAGGGATCGTCCGGGTGTTGCTCGCAGTGCCCTGTTACTGTCATCAATGTCCCTTACGTGTTTGTACTCACTGGAAATGGATCAACACAATTTGTTTTGCTTCTTTTGCTCCAGAACAAAGGGGATTTGTTGATGTGATCGGGTTGTAGTGAACCGGACACATTAGTCTGTATCTGAACACCCAGTCCCATCCAGTCCCATCCGCTCCTGAATAGCTGAGTTCCTGGGTGAATAATTTTTCTGATGAAACCTACCACAGCTAGATTTAACTCCATAAAATGATCTCCCTATGTTTTCACATGTCTTTATAAGGAGGATTTTGTTAAAAAGCATCCCTTTCTTCTACCTTCTCTTCTGACTAAGCTCAGTATCCAGACTTTAAAGAACCAACCACCTGCCCTGTAGCCGCCTTGTGAATTCTGCAAGAGAAGGCACAAATATCTGTAATAAAAGAGTTTCATCTTTTGGCCCTAAACATTGTTCCCTTAAGGCAAAGAAGGACTTACCCCCACCGCCTTGCTGCAGGTCTGTCACTCATGCCTTCCCTGGCCCGAGTGCAGCTCTCATTGCCTGCCCCTCAGCTCCCAGTGTGCTGGGAGTCAGATTACGGCCACTTGTCTGATTGGGTTTTTGGAGTGTAGGGGTGGAAAAATTCTGCCCCATGTGGCAATCGCTAAGTTATATTTGCACTTGAAATAACTTCTCAGTACCTGATCACTATAGAAACAAGGCATTTCAGGAATGCAAAACATTTGCTTACATCATATTTCTTTAGCAGTAATCTTTGCAAATGAGGATGCCGCCCGCCCTGCCCGCCCCCTCCCCCCGTGTTTATTTGCATTCTTCCTAGCACAAAGAATTGCTGAGGATTTGCCTGAATTGTTACCTGTCATAGTTGAAATTGGACAACTATTAGAAAACGGATTTGTGTATCTAAGCAATTGACATGAATTGTGATCTAGGCTTCAGTGCATTCATTTTTGAGTGGCAAATAGCCAGTGAGTTCCGAAGTCTTTGATCTGAGAAGTATAGTTACAACTCCAGCTTCATTTGTAGTGTAGGCGGCACTGATTTGACAATAAAAAATTAAGGAAAAATTAGGAAATACAGGAAATGACACTGCTCTTGGGTGTTTACCTGAATGTTTTATTGATAGTAATTTGGGGGTAAGAAGCAGCAAGTTTTAAAAATATAGAGGTTAAATGGTGATAAATTTATTGGAAACTGTTGGTAAATTTAATATTTGGAAACCTAGGGAGAGGACTGACTACATTCTTTGCTGGTCCCAGTGCAAAATTAGTGCAGGAGCCTGTGCTCAGAAATGATTATGCGTTTCAAAATTGTGATAGCAGGATGTCAGCTAAAGTGTGGGAGCCTTCTAAATGCAGGACCCTGTGCAGCTGCACAGGTTTCTTGCACACAAAGATGTCCCTGCATAAGGAGTTTGGAGAACTGAATACACCACCAACTCATTATTGTGATTTTTTTCCTTAAGTAGATCTCAAATATATAGAACTGAAATAACCATCATACCTAGTTTATGATATTGTCATCACTGTGCATGTATGGATGTATTGCTTTGTAATAATTAATGATTTTTAAGTAATATGATGAACATTCAGGAACCCACCACTCAACCCAACATCTAAAACTGTGATAAAAACTTAGTATCTACCTAATGGCTCCTGTCTCTCAATTTACCAACTCATTTCAAATATGATTTTGTTTTTTGAGAGGGAAGTACGGTTGATAAGAAAGAAACATAGAAGAGAGGGGGAAAAAAGTCTATTGAACTTTGAAATTTTTTGTTGCCTCATTTGTGTACTTGAGACAAGGCACTAGGTACAAAGCTCTCATTAGAAAGGAATTAATATTTTGAGTGTGAATTTCAGAGGATCACTTTATTACTGTTTTAAGCATTCTCATATAACAAAGGTTGAATTTACATTCCAAAAGTATGGTTGCACATTGTTTATTTCACAGTAATAGTTTCAGCCTTTTAAAAAATTCTCTGCCTGAAAGTCACAATATATTCTGAGGAGAGAGGAAGGAGGGCTTACGTGAATCCACAAAGAACACTTGAAACATTTCATAGTGATTTTAAATCTATTACCATTCAGATTTTAAAATGAGATAAAAATGCATTTTTTTTTTTTTTTTACAAATTTGAATACCTTGACTTCCTGGGCAGATGTGCTAAATGCGATTACTTTGACCCTAAGAAAATAGAGTCAGCAATGTTTGTGAGACCTATGAACCCAAGGAACTCTCTGGGTTTGGATGCCTCTCTGTGAATGAGCCCTGTGGTTAGGTCTACAGGAATTCACAAAGCTCAGTGCTTCCTATGACTGCTGGCTGGTAGGGGGTCATTTTTCAGGTCCTCTCTTTGCAGGACTCTCTGGGCTCATTAACATTCTCTGTTGGTCTTGATGTTCCAGTCACCATCTCACAAGGTGCCAGCAAAACTTGGTTACCACAGTTTCTCAGACTCTTTGCCTTTTTTGTGGCTGGCTGATGTGTTGACAGTCCAGTTCCTAAGGGAAGACTGTTCCCAACAAGGGAAAGGCCACCCTAATTGGCACCAACTTGTGTACTTATTAGTATGCTCAGCAGAGTGACTTAAAATGAACCTGGGCTTACCTCTTTATCCACCACAGCTAGTTTTTCTTATTTGATATTGTTGATTATCCTTTCCCAACTTGAGATGGTATTGCTGATTTTCCTGTAACAACCATCAGCTTTGTGCAATAACCACCTGTTTACTGGACTTTGCTTTCAACTAGGGACAGGCATTTCCAACAGGATTGTCTGTGGTGATGTTTACAGAATCTAGTAAGGAAAGAAAGTGGCTGTAGTGTGTTTGAGGTGGTGGGGGAAGTATGAGGCAGGAGCCCTGCTGAATATAAGTAAAACTTCTAAACTGAATTGCTTGGCTCTGGCTCTAGAACCAAATGAGAATTGGAATCAATTTATTTTTCCCCATTGGTAACTAAGAGCCTAATTCATTTAAAAATGGAATGACATTTTATTAATTAAATCTTGACTTTTTCTTTTTTAATTGTGTAGTGCTGAGATCTTTGGAAGAAGGACAGTTACATGACATATTGATTTAAAATTGGTCTTCCATACCAGACTACCTTGTCAATTTTTAGTTGAAGAGCCTGTGAAGTTATTGATCAATAACACACGAGGAAACCAAAGGTAGTGTAAATAAAAATTATAAGAGAACCTCACAAAAGCTAGCTAACTGACATACTTTGCTTCTGAATTTTCAATGTACTATACCATATATTTCTTTGGTGCTGATGTATATCTTTGAGATTTGTGGACTCCTTCTCTCACCCTTGCCCTCAGAACTTTTAATATTTCTTCATGTGTTCAGAGATTGAAGACTGAAACAAAAGCACTAAAAATGCCAGCAATGCCTCAGTAGCAGACGGAAGTGTCTCCAGGCTGGTGGGGCAGATTCAATCCCAACTCATAAATCTTCTTTTGCTTTTCGTGAGTCTCAGCATCATGAATTCTCCCCAGAGCACTTATATATCAGTATGTTCATTAAAAACAAACAAACAAACTGAACAACAGCAGCAGTAGCAGCAGCCCAAAACACCACAACAAAGGGCTTAATGAAGCTTTGTTTCCTTTTGAAAGAGGCATTACCTTATGGTTATAATTCTGGGGAGTTTCCAGATATTTTTCCTACTAAAAAAGTAAAAAACAAAAGATTAAAAAACAACAAGTAGTCAGAATGTGTTTGCCTCCTGTTCCACCAAGGAGATGAATGTGAGAAAACCTGTCTTTCCAATGGATGTTGAACCTTACAAAGAATTAGTTTCTCTCCTGGCCCCCATGCTCCACAGATGGATCCAGTTTTCTCCAGTTGGTATAACAGGCACATTTTCCTTGATTCAGACCTAAGCAGACTCTGCCTTGGCTGGGGAGTTGTGCTCTGCTGACATTTAAGGCAGGAATTCCCTGGGAAAATAGTCAAGAGATTCTTTGGTGTTGCTGGCAGGGCTCCAAAGGGTTTAGGGTTCCCCTGTCCAGGCAAATAGGGAGAGAGAAAGGGAGGGAGGGCAAGAGAAACAGAAGGACTTTATTGAGTGACTGTATTTCATCTGAAGCTTGTACAAAAAAGCAGAAATGTGGTTGGATGACTGGATACTTTTCTTACCCCTTATCTATTACCCAGCTAATATGACAGTTCAGAATTTCGTTGGGCATTTAAAAGCCAGCTTAGACATCCACAGGAAAAAAAATCCATTTTCTGGGAAGAAAAGAACTTTGGGATCTAATGAACTGGACCAAAGTATCTGAAATAGGCAACAATCTAAATGTAGCCTGTTGTAGCAGTGGTTTCCAATTTAAATTAAATTTGAACAGATTAAGAGTTAAATCAACATTTTTGGTGTTCTCTATCACCTAGAATGATCACTACAGAAAGGCTCAGAATCTTCATATTTTTATCAAACAGATATTACCAGTTTCAAGGATAGAACAGGTCTTTAAAATTCTGCGCACAAGGGGGCATGGGAGACAGAGTAGGCCAAAAAACTAGGTAGTTAAAAAATGCTTTTAGAACAAATGTTAGAAATAAACAATTTCTAAGGAACAGAAGTGGCCATAATTTATAACCCCGAAAATATGACTGATCTCCAACAGCCCAGTTATGCAGGAGTGCCCTTGGATAACCTTTCTAATAATTCAGACAAAACTTTCTTGATTTTTTTCTAATGATCATATAGACTTCTCTTTAACTTAACTTCTGTACTTCCATTTTGCACGTTCATAATCAGGAAGGTGATATGCCTTTCTGATTATGCCTTCAGATATTGAAGACATTCACAAAGCTTTGGAGATGTTAAGCTTCATCATGAGTGGTTTTCTCTGATGTTCTTATCTCTTGCTGCACTTTGGTCTATATTCCTGCCACTAATGCCACACCTTGTCAGCTCCCACTTGGTGACCCTTTTATCTAAGACAATTTGTCTCTCTTCTCTCTCTGACATGTGATTTTCTGATTCTTCTTTAAATACTCCTCAGTATTTACCTCTAAATACTTGCCTGGCTTAGTCATGTAAAAAAAAAGCACAGCCTATGTGATGATCGATCTTGGTTGTCAACTTGACTGGATTGAAGACACCTAGAAAATTGATAAAGCACACTTCTGGGTGTGTCTCTGAGGCACTGGTGTACAGGTCAGGGAACTGAGTGGGGAAGACCTGCTGTGAATGTGGAAGGCACCACCCAATAGGCTGAGGGCACAGACTGAACAAAACAGCAGAAGTGGGAAGCACACGTATGTGTTCACCAGACCCTTCTTGAGCAGGGGCCTTTTTGACTATTGTTCCACCTGTGGACATCAGACGCCAGATCCTTCAGTCTTTTAACACTGATTTTTACTGGCAGTTTTCCAGAGGTTTCCAGTCCTTTAGCCTTGAGCTGGGGTGGCACCATTGATTCATCTTGTTCTGAGGCTTCCAGCTTCTTGGACAGAGCATGCGTTGATTTCTCCAGCTCTGCAACTTGCAGATGGTTTTGTGAGACTATTCAGCACTGATTGTGTCAGCCAATGAAGTACAACCCCTCTTCCAATTATAGATAT